CTTTGGTGGTGCTTGTGCTCGTTTCGAGGCCTCCCACAGAGGGCGCCCGCTCGCCAGCCTCGCGCAGAGGATGCCTACGGCAGCGCGCCGCCGAGCCAGGCCTCGGGCGGCCTCCGCGGCCTCCCGGGCGGGCGCTCGTGCCGGGCGGGGCCCTGCCGCGCGGGCTCGGCGCGTGGCCCGCCCACGCGCTGCAGGTGCTCGGGCTCGGCTGGCTGGGGCTCCGCGCCCTGCCCACGGCCTCGGGCGCGCGCGAGGCCTGGCCGCCCGTGCCCTGGGCCCCGGCGCTCTCGTGGGCGGTCGTGGCCTGGGTGTGGGCCGCGTACGCGGCGGGCGGCCGGCTGGCCGCCGCGTGGGCGCCCGGGGCCGAGTGGCCCGCGCAGGCTCTGCTGGGGCTGCTGATCCTCTGCGCGCTGGCCACGCCGGCGCTGGCCCCGCTGGCGCGGGCTCAGCGGCTGCGGCCGGGGACCCGCCGTGGCGGCCACGGCCGAGGACACCCCTGGGCGCGGGCGGTGGTCGCAGGGGGCGCGCTGTCGCTGGCCACGGGCGCGCTCGCCGCACCGCTCGCGCGAGGCGCGCTGGCGCCGGAGCGGCTGGAGCACCTGGAGCTGCTGGAGGCGGCAGAGCTCGCTGCTGGCGGGCGGAGAGGAGCCCTCTGGCTCCTGCTGGCGCTGGTGGGCCTGCTGGCGCCACTGTGGGAGGAGGTCTTCTTCCGCTGGTACCTCGTGACAGCGCTCGTGCGCGGAGACCCTCGCCGCGTGGGCTGGGCCCTGCTGGCGAGCAGCGCGGCCTTCGGCGCGTTCCACTGCCGGCTGGACCTGGGCGGAGGAGCCTCGGACCTGCGCCCGTTCCTGCCGACCGCGGCGCTCGGCCTGGTCTTCGGGGCGGTGTTCGCGACGACCCAGAGCCTCGCCGCGGCGGCGCTCGTGCACCAGGCGTGGAACAGTGGCCACCTGCTGCTCGTGGCGGCCGGGTCGGCCCGTGGGGAACCGCTCGAGGCTCTGGCGCGCGCCGCCGCGTGGTACGCTTGATTGACTGCTGCGGCGGTCGGCAGAACCGTCTGATCGCCATTGCCACCATCATGATCGTCACTGTCATGGTCTTCATCGTCATCATGCTCATCATCATCATCATCATCATCATCATCATCAGCATCATCATCATCATCATCATCAGCAGCAGCAGCATCATCATCATCATCAACATCAACATCAACATCATCATCATCATCATCATCATCAGCATCGCCGTCATCATCTTCATCCCCGTTGCCAAGTTGCATGTTGGCCATCGCCATCGTCATCCCCACCATCGTCGCCATCACATGCACCAGCATCACAATCACAACGATCAGCATCATAGCTCTTTCCGCCAACATCATCATACTGGTACTGATACCCACGGTCCCTTACTCCTCGTAGCCATCCTTATACCAGTCGCCATCATCACTATCCACCGTCTTCGTCATCCTCTTCCGCGCCTTCAATTTAACAATGGCGATGCACATGGCGTTGTCGGGTTTGGCGCTTGGCTCTCGTGTGGCCGAGGTCGTGTGCGGTCCGCATTTCCATGCAGCGCATGGCCTGCGTATGTTTCATGCGTGAATCCAGCCGTCGTTGCGTCCAGATTCCTGGTTGTTTCTGCTTCATGCTTCTCCGTGTTCCCCATTCACTGTATCAAAGGTCGTGCGAGGTGTGTGTGTGTGTGTGTGCGCGTGCGGGTGTGTGCGCGTGTGCTCGCGTGTGTGTATATGTGCGTGTGTGTGCGTGTGCGTGTCTGCGCGCGCGTGTGTGTGTGTGTGTGTGCTTGTGTGTGTGCGTGTGTGTGTGTGTGTGTGTGTGTGTGTGTGTGTGTGTGTGTGTGTGTGTGCGTGTGCGCGTATGCGCGTGTGCGCGTGTTGTGCGCGTGTGCGTGTGTGCGCGTGTGCGCGTGAGCGCGTGTGCGCGCGTGTGCACGTGTTCGTGTGTGCGTGTGGGCGGGTGGGCCTGTGTGCGTGTGTGCCCATGTGCGTGTGCGTTGCTCGTTGTGTGTGTATGCGTGCGTGCGTGCGTGCGTGCATGAGTGCGTGCGCGTGTGTGTGTGTGTATGTGTGGGTGGGTTCTCTCTCTGTGTGTGTGTGTCTGTGCGTGTGTGTGTGTGTGTGCGTGCGTGCGATCGTGCGTGCGTGCGTGCCTGTGTGTGTGTATGTGTGTGACTGCGTTGCTCGTGTGTGTGTGCGCGTGTGTGTGTGTGTGTGTGTGTGTGAGTGTGTATGTGTGTATGTGTGTGTGTCTGTATGTGTGTGTGTGTGATCTATGTGTGTGTGTGTGCGTGTGTGTGTGTGTGCGCGTGTGTGTGTGTGTGCGTGTGTGTGGGGGGGGGGGGGGAAGGGGGGGGGGGGCTTGGGGATGGGGGGGGGGGTGGGGGGGCGCATCGGATTACGTTGCACTGCGTTGCATTGCCTTTCGTTGCTTTGCTTCACGTACCTTCACAAAACATCACATTGGTTTGCATTTCTTTGCATCGCTTCGCATTTGCATTGGTTTGCATTCCGTTGCTTTGCGCTGCTTCGCATTGCTTCGCATTGCATTCGTTTGCATTGGTTTGCATTGATTCTCATTTCTAAAATAAGAATAGACTTTACCCCCCCCTGGGATTATCGATCCCCTTTGTTGTATCGCAATTTGCACATGATTCTGCCCCATCGTCCATCCTACCTGTGAACTCATACTATCCCAGCCAGGCCGGTATCGACCACCCCCGCCATTCGCTGCGAAAAATAATATATGCGCACGCCCGTTGATCAAACATCACAAGTTGTCCAGAATCTTTGGCAAAAGATGGGACGAAGTGCACACGCGCCCCCCGTCGCGCGCGCATGCCAAACTCCTTCAAAACCTTCGGCTTCGGAAGGATTTCAAAATCGAGTTTCCAAACATAATAAAAATAAGGGTTCCGCAACACTGATTTTCTAAAAAAAAATTACACGTGCCCTCCTGCGAAATCTTCAGAAAACCATAGGTTTTTCAAAATATTCAACTACCAAACGGGCTTCGCGCGCGCATGTCGAAATCGTTCGATTGCCCTTGCGCGCGTGCCGTCGCGAGAATCCTCTGCAACAAATCGGAGGAAGTGCAGCCGCGCTCGTCGTCGCACGCGCATTCCTCAATCCTTCAAAAACCTTCGGTTTCGTAAGGATTCCATGAAAATCGAGCGCCCCAGAAACATACAAAAACACAAGGTTTCGCAACACGCATGTTCAACAAAAGCGTGCGCGCGTGCTCTTGCATCGTCGTCGTCGTCGTCGTCGCCGTCCACCCTCCTCCCTCGTCGTCGTCGTCGTCGCCGTCGTCGTCCTCTGTCTTTCCTCGTCGTCGTCGTCGTCCTCTTTGGTGTCGTCGTCGTTTCCGTCGTCATTGTCGCCGTGGTCGTCCTTCCTCCTCCCTCGTCGTCGTCATCTTCCGTCGTCGGCGTCTCGTCGTCGTCCCTCCTATTTCCTCGACGTCGTCGTCGTCGTCGTCGTCTTCCCTCCTCCCTCCTCGTCGTTGTCGTCGTCGCCGTCGCTGTCCTCCCTCCTTCTTCGTCGTTCGCGTCGTCGCCGTCCTCCCTCCTCCCTCGTCGTTGTTGTCGTTGTCGCTGTCGTCGTCCTCCCTCCTCCCTCGTCGTCTTCGTCGTCGTCGTCGTCGCCGTCGTCGTTGTCGCTGTCGTCGTCGCCGTCGTCGGCGTCATCATCGGCGTCGTCGTCGCCGTCGTCGTCGTCGGCGTCGTCATCGTCGTCGTCTTCGTCGACGTCGGCGTCTTCGGTGTCGCCGTCGTCGTTGTCGTCGTCGTCGTCGTTGTCGAAATCGTCAGAGACGTCGTCGGTGTCGTCGTAGTCGTAGTCGGCGTAGTCGTCGTGGTCGTTGTCGCTGTCGTCGTCGGCGTCGCAATCGTTGCCAAGTGCCATTTGGTACCCACCGTCACGGTGTTGAGAAGTCTTGCGACCAAGTTGCAGGTGAGAGGGTGGGATGTTTGCACGAGCAGTGGAGAGGACAGCTTCAAGACAGTCAAAGTGGTTTTGACCACATAGATTGCACCACATGGGCTGCACCACCTGCATTGCAGCACGTTGAGTGCACCTCCTAGATTGTGCCGCATAGAGTGCAAGACGTCAATGTTTGGGGCCCACGCTGACTAACATCGTTTCGCTGCTGGATGGAAGCACATCTTGAGCAACTGTATTCTTGGAAAATGCTTACGGTCGCTCGCTGCACTGGGCCGTCTCGATTGCGTGCGACTTTCTATCTCGCCAGGGCCATAGCCGCGCCATGGGGCGCGATGGCAATGCGCAGGAAGCTGGGAGGCGTGATACGTGATCGGGGAGGACGAGGACAAACACCAAAACATTGCCAGTCGCCAGTCGCTGCTTGGAACAAGAACGATGTTGAAGACAAGGACGGGGGCGAGCGGCACGGGGCAAGGAGGGCAAGGAGGGGGGAGGGAGGAGGAGGAGGAGGGAGGAGGGAGGAGGGAGGAGGGAGGAGGGAGGAGGGAGGAGGGAGGAGGGGAGGAGGGAGGGAGGAGGGGAGGAGGAGAGGAGGAGGGAGGAAGGGGAGGGAGGAGGAGAGGAGGAGGAGGAGGAGGAGGAGGAGGGAGGAGGAGGAGAGGAGGAGGAGGGGAGGAGGAGGAGGAGGAGGAGGAGGAGGAGGAGGAGGAGGGGGAGGAGGAGGAGGAGGAGGAGGAGGAAGGAGGAGGAGGAGGAGGAGGAGGAGGGAGGAGGAGGAGGAGGAGAGGAGGAGAGGAGGAGGAGGAGGAGGAGGAGGAGGAGAGGAGGGAGGAGGAGGGAGGAGGAGGAGGGAGGAGGAGGAGGAGGAGGAGAGGAGGAGGAGGAGGAGGAGAGGAGGAGGAGGAGGAGGAGGAGGAGGAGGAGGAGGAGGAGGAGGGAGGAGGGACGGAGGAGGAGGAGGAGGAGGAGGGGAGGCGAAGGAGGAGGACGACGAATATCATGAGATTCTCCTGCTCCTCCTTGTAGCCTTCGCGCCGGCAGCCGTGCGGGCTCGGCATCCGGAAGCGCGCGGATTCCCTGCGGAACGCCTGCCGCGAGCCATGTCGTTCAAGCCGCAGATCGTCATCGACTGCCGCGGGCACCTCTTGGGACGCCTCGCCTCGGTCGTGGCCAAGGCTGGGACAACAAAAAGCAACACAAACATACAGTCGCAGATTTTTGCTTGGCGTGTCGCCGCGGCGGCCCCGGCGACACGCATATGCCCTTCAAGCGGATATCCGCGACTACAACGGGTATGGTTACGCTGGGTCGTGGTTTGCGATCGGCACTGCTGGGGCCCGGGGAGCACGACACTGTCCATGCTGGGCCTCCTCGGGGCGCGGCGGGGAGCTCTGTCGAGGTCCCCGCCCGACCCTCAGGGTGCCCCCCAGGGCGCCGGTTGCAAACCACACCCCTTGCAAACCACACCCTTCAGAGTCGCCGAGGATAGCGTGTCGCTCCGCTCCGCGGGGCGGGAGGCTGGGAAAATCGGGGGACTTGGACGCTCGGGGGCCGGAGCGTGGATAGCGTCCCGTACTGTTTCGCTGAGGTCCGCGCGGGTTTCTTGGGTCGGGGCCCAGCGCCGATCCAAGAAACCTGCGCGGACCTCCAGGGCATCATGTTGTTTGTTGCTGTTTGCTGCTCCTCTTCAAGGAGCTCCTGAACGGCCAGTCGGTCGTCTGCGTCCGCACGGAGGACATCAACATCTCGGGGTCCCTCTACCGCAACAAGCTGAAGTACGCGGCCTTCAAGTGCAAGAAGATGAACTCCAACCCCAAGCGGGGCCCGCTGCACTACCGCGCGCCCGCGAAGATCCTGTGGCGGACCATCCGTGGCATGGTGCCGCACAAGACGCCCCGCGGCGCCGCCGCCCTCGACAGGCTCAAGGCGTTCGAGGGCGTGCCGCACCCGTACGACCGCAAGAAGCGCATGGTCGTCCCGAGCTGCCTGAAGGTGCTGCGCCTCAAGAAGGAGCGCAAGTTCTGCAAGCTCGGGGACCTCTCGCAGCAGGTGGGCTGGAAGCACCAGGACCTTGTGGAGCGCCTGGAGAAGCAGCGCAAGGTCAAGAGCGAGGTCTTCTACAAGAGGAAGAACGCGCAGAAGAAGGCGCGCCAGCAGGCGGTCAAGTCGGCATCCGTGTCCGCGGAGGACAAGAGCATCCTGGAATCTGCTGGGCTGGCTTAGGTGGGCTGAGGGGCCGCGGCTTGCACAGTACGCGGCGGGCGCGCTGGCATCTCCAAGGATCCGTCATTAGGCAGCATCAGCAGGAAACACGTTGGATCGTTGGGTTCGTTCGCGTGCCTCGCCAAAATCATCACCATCGCTCAACAACGTATCGTAGTCGACGACAGCCAGC